GGTACTGAGGATTAAACTCAGGACCTTGCGATTGCGAGGCAGGCACGGCGCCACTGAGCTAAATCCCCTGGCCCAAATTTTAGATTTCTTACGAGTGGAGTTGGGGAAGAATTACAAGACACGTATTAAGCGCGTTTACAGGTTAAAGGGTATTGGTAAATATTCAAGTATAGCAGCTGAACACATTTACACTCTAGCAGGTTTTTTCGGGTTTTTTGTACCGGGGATCTAACTCTGAACCTTCCGCTTTCGAGTCAGGCGGCGGAACCACTGAGCTAAATCCCCGGCCCTTTTTTTTTTTTTTTTCAGACAGGGTCTCTGGCTCTGTAGTTCTCCACACACGCTGTTAAATGGTGACAAATAACCTTCCAGAAAGGCAGCGACCACCTCCACCTGAGTGCTCCCGGTCACTCTTCGGAATACAACCCCCAGAACGCACCGCGGGCCCTCTACGAACGACCGATCCTTGAGGACTTGGGGAAGGAGCGCGACTTGCCCTCCTACCTGCCTCGCGGGCGTCCGCGACCACGGACCTAACTCTCCCGTCAGCCACCGCGGGCGCCGTCCTCGCAAGGCTCGGCAGAGGCGGGGCCGGCGCTGGACTCCACTTCCCGGCAGGCTGTCCGGGGCAAAGGGGAGGGACTCCATTTCCCAGAAGGCTCCAGTCGGCGGGTGCCGCGGTGCCTTGTGTGGGATGTAAGCCTGGAGGTGGGCGCGGGGGACCAAGGCCAGGAGTCTCCTTTGGATTTAGAGGGACTGGTCTGGGGGCGCTTTCTGCATTAACTCTAGGGGGCCGGAGGTTTGGTCATAGGGAGGGGCAGGCCAGCTTTTGGGGACCCTCAGAGAGATTTTGAGGCACACCCCTTTCGGGCCGAGGGGTCCTGGGTTGCAGCCTATGCCGAGGGCCTACAGCCTCGGCCAAACGCCTGGGGTGGGACTGTCTCCGGGACTGAGGCGGGGCGGCTGAAGAGCAGAGGCTGGAGGAGGCGGGGATGCACAGAGTTGGGGGCGGGCTGGAACCTTAGCCAAGCTTGGGAGGGGGCTCACAGGCCAAGCCCGACCCTCCTATCCCCCCAACCCCGGGCTTGCTCCTAGGCCGCCGCCCGCCGCCATGGGGCTGAAGGCCGCCCAGAAGACACTGTTCCCGCTGCGCTCCATCGACGACGTGGTGCGCCTGTTCGCTGCAGAGCTGGGCCGAGAGGAGCCGGACCTGGTACTCCTCTCCTTGGTTCTGGGCTTCGTGGAGCATTTCCTGGCTGTCAACCGTGTCATCCCCACCAACGTGCCCGAGCTCTCCTTCCAGCCCAGCCCAGCTCCCGATCCTCCCGGCGGCCTCACCTTCTTCCCCGTGGCTGACCTGTCTATCATCGCTGCCCTCTATGCCCGCTTCACCGCTCAGATCCGTGGCGCCGTCGACTTGTCGCTCTACCCCCGGGAGGGAGGCGTCTCCAGCCGCGAGCTGGTGAAGAAGGTCTCTGACGTTATATGGAACAGCCTCAGCCGCTCCTACTTCAAGGACCGAGCCCACATCCAATCCCTCTTCAGCTTCATCACAGGTTGGAGCCCAACAGGTGGCAGGGGCAAGAATGAATCTTGGCTCACCTCATCTCAGCACTGTGGCTTACAGAGCCCTTTTGCTTGTACACTTTGTGAAATGGGGCCGTTGTTATTTCTCCCTTTGTATTTGGGGAAACTGAGCTCAGTAGGGGAAGTGATGTGCCAGTGTCAGAAAATGCAGGGCTGGGACTGGAACCTGGTTCTTTGGCTCCAAACCTATTAACCTACCATAACCCCACTCCTGCCGTTGAGATGCCTGTGTCCTAAGCCCAGCATGAGGCCCACGATGTGGCAGCAGATGGGGAGGGGTGTTAAGAGACAAAGGAGGGCTACATTTGGGACAACTAAATGAAATGTCTGAAGGAATGTTTTGAAAGGGAACAGACCATACACTTGACACGAAGAAACTTAAGTATCAAGGCTTACACAGAATGTCTTTGTGCCAAGTCCAGTTGGTGCAGTCTCGTCCTAGTGCCATACTGAGAAGGAGTCAGAGGCTGCTTCTGAGCTTAGCAGGAAAGAGGGCAGTGATAAATGAGGAGTCTCTTTTGGTGGCTGTGTGAAAAAGTATTGGCCTTGATGCCCTGTTTTTGCTGACCCTGTTATAATCTAATAAGTGCAATAAAACAGGGAAATTCATAAATTAATAGAAATACATGATTACAGAGAAAGGGAAGGGATAGAGTCAAAGGTTGGGGTGACCTGTAGTTGCTCCAGAAAAGTCTTGCTGGGAACAGGGTTGTAAATGAGGAGGGAGAGGCTGGGAGCAAGGGGATGATGGACAACCTTGCCAACAGGCTTTGGAGCTGTGGGAGAGGGTGTGGCCCATCCATCCATAACCAGTCCCTTTCCTTTTGCTCAAAGGCCAGGGGACCTTCTTTCATCACCTAACCTCACTTCCACAGGCACTAAACTGGACAGCTCCGGTGTGGCCTTTGCTGTGGTAGGGGCCTGCCAGGCCCTGGGTCTTCGGGATGTCCACCTGGCCCTGTCTGAGGATCACGCCTGGGTAGTTTTTGGGCCTAATGGGGAGCAGACAGCTGAGGTCACCTGGCATGGCAAAGGCAACGAGGACCGCAGAGGCCAGACGGTCAACGCAGGTGTAGCTGAGCGGGTATCGTACTCCCCTCCCATGTTGTCCCCTTCACACTCTGCTAGCCTTAAGTTATCCCCTGGACTCTGCTTCCTTGGGTCATATTCTCCTTTTCCCATCACCCACTACATATTTCAAGAGGGGAAGACAAATGAGCCCCTTTCCTGCTGTCATTCCCTGAAGTAAGCATTGAGTGGGCTGTCATGAGAAATCTGGTCTTGTCCCTTCCTTCTAAGAGCTGGCTGTACCTGAAAGGATCATACATGCGTTGTGACCGCAAGATGGAGGTGGCATTCATGGTGTGTGCCATCAACCCTTCCATTGACCTGCACACTGACTCCCTGGAGCTGCTACAGCTGCAGCAGGTGAAGGGTGGGCCCCAGGGTCAGGCAGGAACCAGGTCAGGCTGCTGATGTGACTTGCTGTGGGGTCCTGGGCAAGGGCACTTTCCTTTCCTGAGCATCTTTCCTTCTGTAAAATGGGTAGATAATTCCTGGCCTGGCCTTTCCCAAGGCTCTTGGGAAAGTAAAATGGAGATATAAAAGAGCTTTGATCCCTTAACAGGCTGGTTCCTGAATTCTGGTCCTTCTTACCTGGACCCAAGCTCTGCCTGGTAAACACCCCCCGCCCCCAGCTCATAACTCTCTTCTTTGGTCTCTAGAAGCTGCTCTGGCTGCTCTATGACTTGGGACATCTGGAAAGGTCAGTAGGGGGAAGTTGTTTGACAGGGCCAGAGGGCTGGGTGACACCCTGGACTTATGATTCTTTCCCAGGTACCCCATGGCACTGGGGAACCTGGCAGATCTGGAAGAGCTGGAGCCCACCCCTGGCCGGCCAGATCCTCTCACCCTCTACCACAAGGTAAGGTCAATTCAAGAGGGGGCAAAAGAGGGAGCCCAGCTGGGGCTACCTTTCTGGGGACGGAGGAGACATAGGTGAGAAGAACTTTGTGTGTTGGGGGGATTATTGCCTGTGTGCATCATCAGTGTAGGCAGAGCTGTCCAAGGGTTATCCTGGGTTCCCCAGCCTAGTATTGGCAGGCCCTGGATATGTCTCCACATCCTGCATTTTTTGCTTCCTCTTGTCCTTCTGGTGTATAACAGGTCATAGGTGGCGGGAGGACTAAGGAGGGGGTATTAACTTGGTGGGGGTGGGGTGTGGGGGATTTGGGCTTAGAAGTCTTTGATGTTTATATAGAAGAGTATGTGTGAAACCTGGGAAAGAGTGCTTCTCTGGGCTTGGAGTTCAGGCTCCTGCCCTCCCCAGAACAGCCCTGTTCTGTGGGGACCCCTACCTCTGTGGTTGGCCCCAGGCTCAGCAAACAGCTCTCCACGCCCAGGGAGGAGCACCTGGTAGAGGGTCTAGCAGGGAGTAAGGGTGGGATTGGAGGTGGGAAGACTCTTTGGGATCTTCCTTTTACCCCTCCTGAATGGGACCTGATGGGGCACTCATGCCAGCCTAGGCTGCTGGGGGCTGCCTCCCTGAGGCTTCTCTACCCTCTCCTTCCAGGGCATTGCCTCAGCCAAGACCTACTACCGGGATGAGCACATCTACCCTTACATGTACCTGGCTGGCTACCACTGTCGAAATCGCAATGTGCGTGAAGCCCTGCAGGCCTGGGCAGACACAGCCACTGTCATCCAAGAGTGAGGACCCTACCCCAACCCCAAAGGACCTCCAGCTTGTTCTTTCCTTTCTCTCTACTTGGTTTCCAACCATTCTCATCCAGGTGTGAGACCTGGCCCCAAGCCCTGTTCCCCCTCCATTCAGTCCCTATGCAGCCAAGGCCACCATCATCCAGGAGGTAGGGACCTCTGATCACAGCCTCATGCCTTTGCCTTCCTTGTCTCTCCTCCCAGTTTCTAATCACTGTCATTCTCCAGTGAGACTTCCACCTCTCGCCCAATACCCACCCCTCACTGTTGCCCTGAGCTGACACAGACACCATCATCTAAGAGGAGTGAGGACCCCAGCTGCTCATGAAGCCCAGAGGGGAGAAACCTGGCCCCATCCCTCACAGCTCCCTGGGGCTGTCTGCCATGGCTGCGACCCCACAACCCCCCATGCTCTCACAGCTACAACTACTGCCGAGAGGATGAAGAGATCTACAAGGAATTCTTTGAAGTAGCCAATGATGTCATCCCTAACCTACTGAAGGAGGCAGCCAGCTTGCTGGAAGCAGGCGAAGATCGGCCAGGGGAGCAGACCCAGGTGAAGGGCTAGAATGCCACCAGTGTCCACCTCCCACCTGGGCAGGCCCCTCTTACAGGACATGGAACTACATAGCCAGGACTGGGGACTGCATGTGGAAGGTGGTCCAGAGCAGGTGGCTACATTCTTTTGTTGTAGCCAAGGTCCCAGGTATGGGCTTGAGGGAGTGTTGTAGGGGGTTTTGCCCCTGCCCTCAGGTAAATGGAATGGAAGCCCATCTCTTTCATAGCCAGGGTCCTCAGACAGTAAGATAGAGGTGATGGATGGTCCCCCTCCCTCCATCCTGGCTGAGGACTGGCTTGGTAAAAGGAAGAAGGCTCTAAGAATGCTCCTGACCATGCATACTTCTATGCCCAGAGCTGTCATTGGTAGGGGCCTGGGCTGTGCCCTTTGCTAAGGGATAAGAGTCTGACCTGTGCCCTTTCCTCCCTCTGTCCAGGGCACCCAGAGCCAGGGATCTGCCCTCCAAGACCCTGAGTGCTTCGCTCACCTGCTGCGGTTCTACGACGGCATCTGCAAATGGGAGGAGGGCAGCCCCACGCCTGTGCTGCATGTGGGCTGGGCCACTTTCCTTGTGCAGTCCTTGGGCCGCTTTGAGGGACAGGTGAGGGGGAGGGCTGGGCACTATAGGTGGTAACAGGGGCCACGGGGGAGTCAGATGATTGTAGCTGAGAAGCAATACTTGTTCATCCTCCTTGGGTGTAGATGAGACATGAGACCCCTAGAATGAGATGGCTGTGGGAGGGCCTTAGAGTTCAAGCCAGTGACCTGCACCCTTTTTCCCCCAGGTGCGGCAGAAGGTGCACATAGTGAGCCGAGATGCTGAGGCAGCTGAAGCCGAGGAGCCTTGGGGAGAGGAAGCCCGGGAAGGCCGCAGGCGAGGCCCTCGGCGCGAATCCAAGCCCGAGGAGCCACCACCTCCCAAGAAGCCTGCGCTGGACAAGGGTCCCAGCTCAGGCCAGGGTGTGGGGTCAGGACCCCCTCGGAAACCCCCAGGGATGGTCCCAGGCACTGTCCGGGTCCCTGAAGGCGGCAGCACCGCTCAGGTGCCTGCGCCAGCTGTGTCACCACCACCGGAGGGCCCTGTGCTCACTTTCCAGAGCGAGAAGATGAAGGGCATGAAGGAGCTGCTGGTAGCCACCAAAATCAACTCGAGCGCCATCAAGCTGCAGCTCACCGCGCAGTCGCAAGTGCAAATGAAGAAGCAGAAGGTGTCCACGCCCAGCGACTACACTCTCTCTTTCCTCAAGCGGCAGCGCAAGGGCCTCTGAACTGCCGGGGACTTCCTGCAGCTCACGACAAGGGCCCTACCCTGACCTCAACCACCACCCCTCCACCCCCGCCCCCGTCCCCCTCGGGGCCCAGGGCTGTCTGGAACTCTGGGTTCCCGGCTTAAGGACCGTTTACCTCGAGCCTGAACCAACGATTCATCCCAGTTTAGAACCCAGAGTCTTGGCTCAGTCCTTAGAATACAGGTCCCATTTCCCATGATCCTAACCTGCTGGTTGGAACCTCACCGAAGTCCTGGGCACCAATCCTTAAAGGTCCAATCTCTGTAAACTCGGGCCCCACCTCGGAATGGAAGCTCTAACCCTAGGCCAACCATGTCCCTCAGGCTTCCTCCCCACTCCAGGGCAACAAAGGATTGGGTCTTAACGCTGGGGGCAGCGCGGTTCCGCCTTCAGTCCGGAAGTCGAGGACCCCAATCAGCGGCTAGGAGTACATTTCTGCGCTTGAGAATTCCATCCCTTGGGAATCCAAGACCTTGCCCCAAAGAACTAAAGTCCCAACTGCCAGAATTTGGAGACCAGTTTCCTTTCCTCCCGACCCCTAGAGGCCGGGAGGCGAAGCCCCGCCCCCAGCCTGTGCGACTCCTGAGCCCCGCCCCCTTCCTGACCAAACTGGCCCCAGATCAGAGCAGGACCTCTTCCGACCCTCTGGGAACCTCCCCGAGGGTCAGCTCATTACGGGGACCCGGGAGGAAATCTGCAGGAGGTTGGGAGTGGGGGAGCTGATCGCTTCCTGTTTTGTACATAGATTTATTTTTCAGTTGCAAGGAAGATGAATAGATTTTGTTAAAAAAAACAAACGTGTGCGTGTTTCATCTGGGAAACTGGGCGGGGAGTGGAACGTCCCCTCTTTACTCGGGCTGTGGACTTCGTGCTCACCACCTGTAGAGTTGGTGGCTGAGAGGGCTCAGCCCGGGCACTGGGACTTCCCCCGCCGCCGCGGGCCTGTCCCAAGGGCGCCTCCTTCGGACCGGAGCGGCTGGGCGTCTCCTCCCTGGCCCCGCCCCCGCGGCCTTGGAGCCACGGGAGCCGGCCCGGCCGCCCCGCCCCGCCCCGCTGCTGCACCGCCCCGTGCCGGCTCCGCAGCTCGCGCCCGCCCGGCGCCGGGCCATGGCGCTGCTGCGGGATGTGTCGCTGCAGGATCCGCGGGACCGCTTTGAGCTACTGCAGCGCGTGGGAGCCGGGACCTATGGCGACGTCTACAAGGTGCGCCCGGAGGCTGGATGCGCGGGAGCGCGGAGTGGAGGGTGCCTGCCCGCTCCCCGCCGTGCAGCCAGCCCCCAGCCCCGCCCTCTCCTCATCCTCCTGCGCCCTCTCCGTCCCGCAGGCCCGCGACACGGTCACGTCCGAGCTGGCCGCCGTGAAGATCGTCAAGCTCGACCCAGGTGAGGGCCCGGGAGGGGCCTGGCCGCCGGAGGGAGGCAGGATACTGACTGGCGCGCTGCTGGGGGCGGAGAGTTGACATTTCCAGACCCCCTGAGAGGCAACCCCTGGCACCAGTGTGGCCGGGAGGGAGGCACCCTCTCATTTTGCAGATTGGGCATTAAGTCCAGGCCACCTCTCTTCGGTCCCGCGTGATGTCTTGTGCTCCCCAGGGGACGACATCAGCTCCCTTCAGCAAGAAATCACCATCCTCCGTGAGTGCCGCCACCCCAATGTGGTGGCTTACATTGGAAGCTACCTCAGGTAAGGGTGCTTTATCCTCCTGCCCTCAGCAGCCCCCATGTAGCTTGCTGTGAGCCCATCCCAGCTCTGTCATCCCCTCCCCCCCAGGAATGACCGCTTGTGGATCTGCATGGAATTCTGTGGAGGGGGGTCCCTACAGGAAATTTACCATGGTGAGAACCATACCTCTTTCCCCACCCTCACAACATCGGGGCAGGAGGGAAGAGTCTGGGCTGGACTTGAGCTCCTCTCTACTCCTGACTGACTATGTGACCTTGAGAGAAATACTGTCTTTCTCTGGGCTCGGAATCCCGGAGTAGACTGAGAGGAGATGGGCTAACATCCCTTCAACTAGCAGCACCTACTGCTCCTCTCCCACAGGGTGGCCTAGGAGGTCACCAGATCCCCCCAGGCCCCCAGCAGCCCTCATCTTTGCATTTCAGCCACCGGGCCCCTGGAGGAGCGGCAGATTGCCTATGTCTGCAGAGAGGCCCTGAAGGTACCTGGCCCCATCAGATGCCCACACCGGCCCCCCAGAGCAAGGGCCCAGAGCAGGAGAGGGAAAACCTGAGGCAGAGCTGGCCTGGGCTCTGGGTCCTGGGGGGGAAGGGGCCCCAGCCGTGTTGCCGGAAGCAGCCCATTTCCCTCTTGGCTCAGCCACTTCCTGTTTGGGGATAGGGGAGGAGGAAGCAGCTTGAGTGGGGGGCCCTAGTTCTGAGGAGGGGTTCAGGAGGGGGGGTTAGTGCTAGACAGCTGCACTCAGGGACTACCCTCTGTCCCCAGGGGCTCCACCACTTGCATTCTCAGGGGAAGATCCACAGAGACATCAAGGTAGGGGTCAGCCAAGGACGGGGAGGTGGCAGCCCTGGGGCACCCTATAGGATTCTCTCTCCTTATTCCACAGGGAGCCAACCTTCTCCTCACTCTCCAGGGTGAAGTCAAGCTGGGTCAGTACTTGGGGATGCAGTCAGGGTGAGGATTCTGTGGGGGGTCTGGAAGTGTCAGAATATCTTCTCAAGCATGAGGTCACCTTAGAAAAGTCACTTTATCACTTGAGCCTCAGTTTCCCCACTTAGAAACCCCCAGTATAGGCCAGAAATTTAGCTCAGTGGTTCTGGCACCTGCCTCGCAAGAAGGTCCCAAGTTCGATCCATGGTACCAAAAAAAGAAACCCTAGCAGTATCCCTGCTGGAAGTTGGATGAGGTTGGGTCTAGGTGGAGCTGGATGTAGGACCAGACACTCGGGGACGGAAGGTGGTTGGCCCTTGAAAGGGAGGAACCTGGCCTGGCCCATTAGGCCTGTGGCAGCTGTGGCTGGACCTGGTACCCACCTGTCTCTGCCCTCCCAGGTGCATCCTGAGCCTGAGCCCTGGGGGTGGGATGGCGAGTGGGACCAGAGAACTAGTGAGAGCTGCCCATTTTCCTACAGCTGACTTTGGAGTATCAGGCGAGCTGACAGCATCCGTGGCCAAGAGGAGGTCTTTCATTGGGACTCCATACTGGTGAGGCTGTGCCTTGGGTGGTGGGGCAGTGGCCATAGGTGGGACACTTGGCCATCCCATCTGTGACCCTGCCTCTAGGATGGCTCCGGAGGTGGCTGCTGTGGAGCGCAAGGGTGGCTACAATGAGCTATGTGATGTCTGGGCCCTGGGTATCACCGCCATTGAGCTGGCTGAGCTGCAGCCCCCTCTCTTCCATCTGCATCCCATGAGGTCAGCCTGAGACATGCCCCTTGCCTGACCCTTGTCCTGGTGACCCTTGACCCCTGACCTGGCACCTCTACAGGGCCTTGATGCTCATGTCAAAGAGCAACTTCCAACCACCCAAGCTTCGAGAGAAGACATGCTGGTGAGAGCCCACACCCCCTGCGTGGACCACCTTTTTCAGCCAGGACCCCAGGGGAGGAGGAGCCACCTGCCAGCTCCCGCGTGCAACATGGAACCCTGTTCTCCAGTCCTCTATGGACCCTCTCAGCAAGGGGCCTGGACCAGCCTCTGGCTGGCACCCCATGTGGATAGGAAAGAAAGACAAGTGGCTGGCAGTGGAGGCGCTAGTGTGTCGCAAGAGCATTTCTCAGGCTGGCCCCTTCCTGGGCGGGCCCCAGAGCAATGGCGGGGGCAGCCAGCAGCTGCCTTACAGGAGGCCTCACCTGGGACCGGTGGGGCCTCTTGTGCCCACTAGGACCCAGAACTTCCACCACTTCCTCAAGCTGGCCCTGACCAAGAACCCCAAGAAGAGGCCAACAGCCGAGAAGCTCCTGCAGGTGGGAGATGGCAGGCCTGGGGCTTGGTGCTCAAAAGCAGAGCCTGAAGGACAGAGTCTAGCTGATTGTCCCTTGCTCCTCCAGCACCCATTCACAACACAGCAGCTCCCTCGGGCCCTCCTCACCCAGCTCCTGGACAAGGCCAGTGACCCCCACCTGGGAACCCTCTCCCCTGAAGACTGTGAGCTAGAGGTGAAGTGGGACTGGGAAATGGGAAGCCTAGAGGTGATACAGGTCAAGGCCCCTTCCCTCCACTTGAACTCACCCATTAGGAGTCTTTTCTGAGCTGGGCCTTGCTTCCCTATAACTCCCCTTGATAGATTCCCGCCTTTGGGAACCATGGGCTGACCGTGCTCATGACTAAGTCGACCATGACCGTGACTAAGTGGCCTTGCTTTTTGTGTGATCTTTGGCAAATTACTAGATCTCTGTCTCAAGGGATTTCTGTAAAAAGCAAAACACACTGGTGCATATAAAGCACCTAGAGGGATTCTTGGCTGAGGGGGGTGCTGGGTAGGAGCCCATTCAGTTTGTTCTTCCTTAGACTTACGACATGTTTCCAGACACCATTCACTCACGGGGGCAACACGGCCCAGCCGAGAGGACTCCCTCTGAGATCCAGTGTGAGTCTTCTGGTGGGGTCATGTGCGTGTGAATGTGGCAGGATCCTAGAGGTCAGTCTTAAGGCTCTAGCTCCCTGACCTGTGTGCTTTGGACTCACCAGTTCACCAGGTGAAATTCGGTGCCCCTCGCAGAAAGGAAACAGACCCACTCAATGAGCCAGTGAGTTGTGTGCTGTGCAGGTAGAGGGGTTGGGTATGGGCTGGGGTGCGGGTCAAGCCCCTCAAGTCAAGGTGCTTTGAAGCAGGGGCTGCCTGTACCACCCAGGGACTCAGGGGCTTGGGGTTCCTTCTAAGGACAGCTAGCTGGAAGGTGGCAAGGTGACCACACCTTTCTAAAAGGTGGCCTGTCATGGGCCCAAGTCCCTACCCCACCTACATCCTGTTCTGCCTATGCCACCAGTTGTCTCATTTGCCAACCCTCAGGGGTCTCTTGCTTGGTACCATCCCACTGTCCATCTGTCTATCTGTCCTCTCATTCCCCTGCCATTTCAAGTGTCTTCTCACATTGTCTCTGCCTCTCTCCTGGGTTCCCTGCCTTGGTTTCCCCCAGTGGGAGGAAGAGTGGACACTTCTGGGAAAGGAGCTGAGCAGGTGAGTGAGGAGGAGGGGAGCTGCAGCTTGAGGGGGGCAGAAAGGCTGACCTCTGACCCCTCTCCCTTCTGCCCAGGAGCCTGCTGCAGTCGGTCCAGGAGGCCCTGGAGGAAAGGTGAGGGGCTGGCACCCAGTACAGGACAGGGACGGCCAGGCCTGGATGCCAGTCCCGTCTCACACTCAGAGCCCTCTGCTTTGTACCCCCAGGAGCCTGACCATGCGGCCGGCCTCAGAAGTGCAGGTGCAGAGTGTAGGAAGCTGGGAGAGGATACCCCAGAATGTGGTTAGGCTGGGTCAAGGTCATAGGGTCAGCTGCCAAAAGCCACCTGGACTCTCCACCTTCTTGCTAGGAGTTAGAGTCTCCAGATGATGCTATGGGAACCATCAAGCGGGCCCCATTCTTGGGGCCAGCCCCTACTGAGCCAGCAGCTGAGGACCCTTATTCCAGCCCCCAAGGTAAGTCCCAGGCTTAGGAGGCCAGAGGAGGCCTGGGTGCAGGACAGGCTGAGCTCACAGCAGCCTGTGCCTGCAGGAATTCTGCCCCCACCCCTACCAGGGCCCGGAAGCCCCCCACTGCTGCCCACAGCCTGGGCCACCATGAAGCAGCGGGACAATCCTGAGGTGAGGGGGCCACAGAGGGGGGTGGGCA